TTCTAATTTAAATTACTTGGAACGGATTCCAAATTGCATGTCAAATCGTTATGCTGCTCAATAGGAGCAGATGTCTGGGTAGCCAAGTCCTTGGCTGAGTTAATATATAAATAATAAGATAGCACATTTGCTATCTGTCTTAAATTATATTTGAATAGGTAATACCTATCTGTAGTCAAAAATTTCTTAATTATTATTAATGTCTATTAAATTAATTCTATTAGTATAATTATTACAATTAAATGTCAAATTTAAATTATTGTTACATGACAAATTATTCATTAATAAATTAAATCATATCTTATTTTATTCTCCTGTGGCCAACCCTGTATGGATGAGGAAATGTAAACAAGATAATTTTATGTACATTTAAAGTATTGAGGTAATCAATATATTTTAATAATTGATTTTTGTTTACGGCAATCTCTTCTGCCAACAATAATTCTTGTGCTATTAGGGCAAAACTTACTAGTTAAACCATATTGATAAGATAGCAGGGGAAGCAGGCTTAGGTCGCTAGGCTTCATATTGAGAAACGCAAAGGATTTTAAAAATCCAACAACTGTCATTAAGCTTTACAACAGTTTTGTAAGGAGCAAGCTTGAGTATTGCACCGTAGCATGATGCCCTACTTATAAAACACACATAGAGAGGATCTAAAAATTCAGAAGAAAGTAATTCGTAGTTTACCCAACCGTTTTGGTTCTCCAAGAAATATCAAAACCCATATTGAAAAAATTAAGCAATTTCAACTAAAACCCCTTTCCATACGCCGAAATCACTTAGACATGTCACTCCTACATAAGTTAGTACATAATTACATTGACTGAGTCCCGTTATTGTCCAAATTCCAATTTAAGGTACCATGCGGAATACCGAGAGGACATCTGTTCTCGACGCCTCGGCAGACTTGAAGGTTCGGACCTGTCCATCCTTTGGCTACGCGTAGACAGCGACGACCATCCGCGCGTCTACGGGTGCCTCTATAGGTCCCACAGCGGTAATGCCGAAACAGACCGACTCTTCGACCACGTCCAAATGGCTACAGATTCCTTGCTACAGCAGACCCCTCCGCAGAGATCGTGATCCTCGGCGACTTTAACGCCCATCACGCCGAATGGCTTGGTTCACGTTTAACCGATCATGCGGGGAGATCTGTTCATGATTGCCTTGGCATATGGTCTGACACAACTGGTTACTTCGCCTACGCGGATTCCAGATGTGGAGGATCACGCACCTTCCCTGTTGGACCTTCTGCTGACCTCTCACCCGGACGGATATCAGATTTCCGTCGAAGCCCCTTTAGGCTCCTCGGACCATTGTCTTGTCCGGAGTGTGGTGCCACTCACGGTGAAATCGCAGTTGCATTCTGCAGGCTGCCGCCGTGTTTGGCACTATAGGTCAGCCGATTGGGATGGGATGCGGTCTTTCTTTGCATCCTACCCTTGGGGGCGGGTTTGCTTCTCGCCGGACGATCCCAACGTTGTTGCGGATTCTGTTGCTGATGTGGTACTTCAGGGTATGGAACTTTTTATTCCTTCCTCTGTGGTGCGCATTGGAGGCAAATCTCAGCCATGGTTTGGTCGCTCTTGTAAAATAGCATCATGCTATAAGCAGGAGTGCTACCGAGCCTGGGCTGACGCATCAGCATCCCGGGATGTAAACACCAGCGCAATAAAAAAGAAGTATAATTCCGCCTCTAGGTCCTTCAAAAGAGTCATTGTCAAGGCAAAGTCAGAGCACATAGGCAGAATTGGCGAGAAACTAGTTCGCCTTCCTTCTGGAACCCGTGCATTCTGGTCTCTCGCCAAGGCTGTCCAGGGGAATTCTGTCAGCCATCTCTTCCATCTCTGCACAGGGAGGACGACTCACTGGCCCATACCGCAAAGGAGAAAGCCGATCTTTTAGGCTCTTTCTTTGCGTCCAACTTGACTCTCGATGACGGGGGGAGTACACCGCCGACCATCCCGCGGTGTGAGTGCTCCATGCCGGAAGTGCAGTTCACACAGCGCTCGGTTCGCAAAGCTCTCCTCTCGTGGAGGACGTGTGCTCCAGAGTTGGCACCGGTTTTAACGCGTCTTTTCCGGTACTCCTACTCCCTAGGCGTAATCCCAAAATCATGGAAGATGGCTTTCGTCCACCCGATCCCTAAAAAAGGCGACCGCTCAGACCCGTCCAACTACCGGCCTATCGCCATCACCTCCTTGTTCTTCAAAACATTGGAGTCTATTGTAAACTGCCAGCTCATGAGGTACCTTGAGGATCACCAGCTGATAAGTGACCGCCAATACGGTTTTCGCCGTGGTCGGTCAGCTGGTTATCTTCTAGTCTGCCTAACTCATAGATGGGCGGAGGCAGTAGAGTCCAAGGGGGAGGCATTGGCCGTTAGTTTGGACATTGCGAAGGCCTTCGATCGGGTTTGGCACAAAGCGCTTCTTTCGAAGCTCCCTTCCTATGGGCTTCCCGAGAAATTGTGCGATTGGACACCAGCTTTCTTGCAGATCGGAGCATCAAGGTCGTTGTAGACGGTGCAAGCTCCGATTGCAAGCCTATTAATGCTGGTGTTCCACAAGGCTGCGTGCTATCGCCAACGCTGTTTCTTCTGCATATCAATGATATGTTGCAAACCAGTAACATTCATTGCTATGCAAATTACAGCACTGGTGATGCTCTTTACACCGGCCGAGCCAATATTTCTCGGGAAAACGTCTCCGAGTGCCGGAACAAACTTCTGTCTGAAGTCGAGTCTTTGCTGAACAGAGTCAACTCGGCTTCAGAGACGAGTACGAAAATCTAGTCCAGTTAACCCCCAGAAGACACAAGTTTGCGCGTTAACCGCTAAAAAGAACCCCTTTGTCGTATCTCCTCAGTTTCAAGGCACTCCCCTTGTTGCCTCAGCCAGTATCGGAATCCTAAGCGTTGACATATCGAATGACGTGCATTTTCATGGTCACTTGGAAGAGAAGGCCAAATTGGCCTCTAAAAAGCTTGGCGTGCTCAGCCGAGTGGGACAGTTTTTCATGTCGGCACACCGCCTGCGACTTTACAAGGCGCAGGTTCGGCCGCACATGGAATACTGTTCCCATCTCTGGGTTGGGGCTCCCCAGTACCAGTTCCTTCGCCTTGACCGCATCCAGCGCAGAGCGGCTCGAATCGTCGACGACCAAGTGCTTTCCGATCGGCTCGATTCACTGGCACTGCGAAGAGATGTTGCATCTCTTTGCATTTTATTTCGCATATACCATGGAGAGTGCTCTGAGCAATTGTTCGGATTAATCCCAGCCGCCAAATTTCGTGAACGCACTACGCGGCAAACGTCGCGATACCATCCACACCATCTGGATGCTTGGCGGTCCACCACAGTACGTTTCAAAAGGAGTTTTCTTCCGCGTACAACCTCTCTGTGGAATAGATTACCACCGGCAATTTTTCCGGACCGATACGACCTGGGGACCTTCAAGAAAAGAGCTTACTCCTTTTTAAAGGGCCGGCAACGCACCTGCAATTCCCCTGGTGTTGCGGTTGATCATGGGCGGCGGTAGTCACTTAACATCAGGTGAGCCGCATGCTCGTTTGCTCCCTCTTCTATAAAAAAAAAAACAAGATATCCATGTAGCCTTTTTAAGAATAAATTTTGTAGAACTAACTTGGGTCGCGACTCCTCTGAGATCCGTATTTCTCGCCTGTACAACAAGCTCACCAAAAATATACTGACCTTGACAATCACCATGATACATGTCACTGTTTATTAAAGCGCGTGATATATATCCCCGAAACCGACGTGACCCAGAAAAACTAGTTCTAGGTGTTATTCCTAGATTCGGTAAATACAACAAAAGTTGTATAAATATGTGTATAAAAATATTTAATAAACTACCTCATGAATTTATAACATTAAGCGAAAGATTGTTTAAGAAACAATTGTTTAATTGGTTAAAAACCGAATGTTATTATGACGTAAAAGATTTTTTAGATTTTAATTAATTAGTATTGTTGATTCTGTATTTGCATGCCATTTGCCATTGTTAGCGAAACACGATTGCACTAGATAAATTGTAAGATATTTTTATACCGTGATTCTTGCAAATAAAAATTATGATTTACTAAGCGAAGGTCATGCTCACCCACATCAATGTCGATTACCTTCCCTCAATTTTTTGCCAAACTTATGCATGTTGACGTACGCTCCGGTTGCACAATTTTCTTTTTTTATTTAAGAACAAATTTGTCTTGAATTTGTTTAGCATTTGTAAGACAACTTATGCTGTGATTGACTATAATCATAAGAGCAGTTAATCATGTAAAATTTATAACACTGTAATGTAACCAAACAATAATTGCTGTTACAATATACATACACTACAATATATAATATACAATAAAGAATGTTGGCAATCCAAATAATAAAAAAAGTATCTCGTAAAATATGCATAAAGAGTTCAACTACAAAAATTTTGTTCATATTTTTTAGCATTTCCTCTATGCTAGTAATTACTCGGAAACGTTCATACTGCCAATTAACCCGAACAATATTCATAACACAGGCACTATTGTAGGGCAGTATTCATAATACAGGCACTATCATAGTGTAAAACTTGGAATATACTAAGAAAATATCAGTACGATATAATTAAAACGAACTATGAATCTATTCTAAACAAACATATTTGATATGAAATCAGACGTTAACATTTAATTTGTAGACAATAATTATTTAGGCCGTGTCGAAAAACCCGTTATGCCTACATACTGCACCTACGCGCGATAAGTGGCAGAAAGCGACCGACCGTTGATGGAAAAGCATTAGTATACATTAATAACAAAATTGTAAAGTTAAAATATTATAAGTATTCCGAAAAGAAGTATCTTTTATTTAATTACCTTTACAAGCTGTACTTAAATAATTGTCAAGACAGTAACAATATACGAAAGAATTTAAAATGATTATTTACATAGGAAAACTGTTACCTCGAGACATATTCAAAAGATGATTTACTTACCGGTAATGATAGCTTTGAGCACGTCTATCTGCAGCTCGAAGACGTTGCGGTGAACGTACTGCACGAAGGCATAGAACGGCAGCGTGCGGTAGCCGAGATACGTGAAGAACGAACTGAAGCCCTGCGGCAGCGGGAACGCGATGGACTCCGTCGCCAGGTAGTACTGCTCCAGGATCTTGAACAGGATCAGCGCGTGTGTGGGGTCCATCTCATCTCTGCGATTGAAGTGATTTCTTTTAGTTGTTATCTAACGAAATCGTGTGGTATCTGTATTATGTATCACATTTACATAAAAATAATTCAAACGTGTTTTTGTTGTTGGAATCGTCCGGCGAGAAGCAAACCCGCCCCCAAGGTAAGATGAAAAAAAGACCGCAACCTATCCCAATCGGCCGACCTATAGTGTCAAATATGGTGACAGCCTGCAGAATGCAACCGCGACGTGAGCGTAACTGGCACAATAGTCTGAGCAACCAAGAGGAGCGTCGACGGATACCTGACATCCGTCCGGGTGAGAGGTCAGTAGAAGGTCAAACAGGGAAAGCGCATGATTCTCCACATCTGGAATCCGCGTAGGCAAAGTAAGTGTTGTGTCAGAAGGCAGTCATAAACAGATCTCCCCACATGATCGGTTTAACGTAAAATGAGCCATACGGCGTGGTGGGCGTTAAAATCCTCAAGGATTACGATGTCTGCGGATGGGATCTGCTGTAGCAAAGAATCTGTAGCCATTTGGACGTGGTCGATAAGTCGGTCTGTTTCGGCGTTATCGCTATGGACCTATAGAGGTATCCGTAGACGCGCGGATGGTCGTCGCTGTCTACGCGAAGCCAAAGGATGGACAGGTTTGTACCTTCAAGACTGCCGAGGCACCAAGGAGTGTTCCAATTTGCACCCCGGGTAGGAGAGATACGTAGTATCAGACGGAGAGGACACCTTCGTCTCGATCAGAGAGCAAGGCCGGCTTCGCCGTCTCCAGATGGTAGTGGACGGCGTATAGGTTCGAGTGAAGTCCTCTTGGTATTGTTGCTCAGCATTCCCTTTTTTATCTGGAGCAAAATTTGACCCTCCCCCACCCCCCAGAATATGCGGGACTGCCTGAGCACCAACGATCAGGAGTGGGGTTGCTCGGTGAGGGATTCTCCATTACAAGGGGTGTAGGTACCCTCTTGGAGTAGTTATCACATTTAATTCCCCTACCATGTTGATGAAAGGGGGAGGGGGGGCATAGGGCTTTTGGACACCTACACGCACCAGACGAAATGCAGAAGCAGAGCTACTTAACGCTGGTATTTTACGAGGTCGTGTACCACCCCGGTTCGAGTCGGTGTCCCATACGTGCAAAAGCTTCCGAGTGGCTTTACCACTGTTAAAACTATTTAACAGCTACTATATAAGAGGCTCATTTATTTAAATAAATCAGTTATTATATTATTATTGCACATTAAATTTTAGCATTAATAATCAGCATCAATCGATGCCGATATTTTATGGATGCTTGATGTTGATGATCGCAAAACCCCGATGCTCAAAATCAAACTTAAGAAAAATGTATGGGGACAATAGTAAATGGCGGCATAGTTTTTTGTAGTTTAAAGAAATCTTATTTAAAAATTGTATAATTATATGATTCAAAGGGCGGTTGGCCACCGCCGCCTTCATCGGGATGTAAACGAGGAAGAGATGACGGTGCCGAGGTAGCATCCGGTACATTTATTACAGGCCGCCTGTCCACCGCAAGCTATTATCCCGGCCATCGAAGTTTAGAGTAGATCGAGAACTCGGCCCGAAATTGTGACGGGCTGATGTATTGGCAATACAAAACACGTTAAAACTTGTACATCCACAACGGCGCCGTGTCATCCCGCCACGCCGACGCACGACAACTACAACTATCTGACGGAACCACTGATATCGTCACGGTGAACAAATTATCGCCGTCAAGTAATCTTGACATCGGCCAGAAGTAATCTCGTTCTCGTTAACGTTCCCGTGACGTTACTTAAAGCGGCAAGTCGCAAGTAGTTTTTGGAACAATGGTAAATGAAGTAGTAATTTTAACGATATATTAAAACTATTAAATTCATATGTAATTATTGATGCTGTAATATCTAACGAACATACTATACCTTAGGAATTTAAAATAAAAATCAAAAAAATAAAAACAAAAACAAACCAAACAGCACACAAAACTGAAGCACTGCCCATGAAAAACTTACGTTAATTTTAAAACCTTTGCATAAACGCAATAGCAATAAAATAATTACACACATTAAGGAACTATAAAAACATAGTAGCGAAACCAAGCTGCAAACAAAAAAGAATCTATCTTTACTGATAAAAATTAATAAGTAACGAATCCAAGTTCATTAAAAAAATGACTGGTATGAAACCCAATATAAAAATGAAAACCAACGATACAAGACTAAAACATCCCACACACTTGAACTGGCACGAAAACGAAAACAAGCAAAAAAAAAATAACCAGAAAAAAACGAATAAAAGTGAATCGGTCGCGTTGCATACACGAGTGCGAAGCCGCGCTGGTGCGAGGCGGGCACGGCGGCGGCGCGCGAGGCGGCGCGGCAAAGCGAGCGCGCCGCCTCCACCTGCGCGGCTGCCCAGCGCGTGCCCAGCGCGTGCACGCCGCCCTCCGCCCCACCCGCACCACCCGCCTCCCCCCGTTCGCGCATCACATGCACGCTCACCGCACGCAGGTTCTGTTGCATGGTCGCTCACTCTCACTCAACATTTTACTTCCCAGATTCATCTTGTATTCCAAATTTATACATTTTGTTTCTTACAGAAAATTACAGCTTATAACATAGAGCAACATGGGCTATCGTCGGATCAGAGTGGATTAGCCATACGCAGGCATTCCCATCTGTCAAAGTATAAGACCACTCGGTCCTTTGTGAACAATAAAACTAGTTGCAGCAGCACTTTCACTAGACTTAATCTAGTTGCGCAGCTGAATCGACGTCCTACAAAAATTCCAAATTGTTCACTTTTTTTTTTGCTGCAAAAAGGGATATACGACAACATGAATTTCTACCTGAATAATCGAATACATCAAACATTATCAATTTTGTAAGTGAAGTGACCTTCCAGAAATTTTAACCAACGGGCATGAGGTTGATGCCATTTACACAGATTTTTCCAAAGCATTTAATGTAATTGACCATGGATTACGAGTACAGAAACGGCCACACTGGAATTTGCGGTTTACAGCAGTGATGGTGTGTGAGTCCTACTTTTAAAACTATTCTTAGCTCGTTATGATTCGTGGTTATAAATCCCTTTCAAGACCAGAGCCGTCAGGTGTGCCACAGGGATTTCATCTTGGACCACTATTTTCACACTGTATGTAAAATATTAATGTGCCAAAATTATGTCAAATTTTAAATGTTGTGAATGTTTATTATCTTTAAATTTATAGGGAAATTTATTCTAAACAGGATATACTGCAACAACGCGACCTTAATTCTATCAACGATGAGTGTGTAAATAATAAAATATTATTTAATTCTTTGTTTAAACGATCAACTATCTTACTGGCGCTAAGAATACGGTATGAAGATCCCAATATCTTCAAAAGTTTGTTGCGATCATTTAATTTCGCAAAATAATATATTCCGTCTGGTAGTAGCAACAAAACCTCTTGTCTTCGATAGATGGCGTTGTAAACATGTCAAACATTTCACTATACCAAAATATCTGATGATATAAAGCTGTAGCCTAGCCCCCACGACAGTATATATTAATGTAAATTGTAGCTGTTAAGATCACCAGATCGAATTCAAAGAGTTGCCCAAGCACTGATATTTTATTTTTATATAACCTTTCAATTGTAAATTAAAAGGTTATTACAGGCTTCCCAGAAGTGTGGAGTAGGGATACCACTATATACGAGGGGTGATCCAAAAGTAATGATAATGAAAATAAAACACGGTAATTAAAGTTAAAATAATAATTTATTTTTCTACATAGTCTCCTAACAAATCAATACATTTAGTCCATCTTTTTTCTAAACCCAGGATTCCCTTTGAAAAAAATTCTTTATCTTGACCCTCCCAAAACGCTCCAACAGCGGCCATTACTTCGCTATCGTCTTCGAATTTCTTGCCTCGGAGGCGTTCCTTGAGCCGAGGAAAGAGGTAGAAGTCACTAGGAGCTAGATCTGGCGAATAGGGAGGGTGTTAGAGCAGTTCGAATCCCGTTTCTTGAATGGCAGCCATCGCAAGTGCGGCTTTGTGAGCCGGTGCGTTGTCTTGGTGAAACAGCACTCCAGCACGCAGTTTGCCGCGTATTTTTTCCTTAATGGCCTCCCGCAATCTTCTTATTTGGTCTTCGTAGTAAGAGCCCGTAATAGTGGCTCCCTTTTCCAAATATTCCACCATAATTATGTCTTGAGCCACAATCATAACCTTTCCCGCCGAGCTTGAAACTTTGAATTTCTTTGGCGTAGGTGAGGAGGCTCGCTTCCAAGGCATCGATTGTTGTTTCGTTTCGGGATCAAAATGGTGGATCCAGGTCTCGTCCATAGTCACAAAACGGAACAAAAAATTTTCTTGATCTGCTAGGAACTTTTCGAGATTGACCCTCGAAATGTCAACTCGATTTTTCTTTTGCTCGTCGGGTAACATTCTGGGTACCCAACGCGCAGAGACCTTTTTCATATGCAACTCGTTCGCAAGGAGTCTTTGAACGTTGCCATATGAGATCCCTGTGACCTCAGCTACATGCTTGGTCACTCTTCGGTCTGCCAACACAAGATCTTCGACTTTTTTCACGTTGTCTTCAGTGAGGGAAGTGGATGGGCGTCCTTCGCGATGTTCATCTTCAGTGGATGTTCTGCCCAGTTTAAACTCTTTGCGCAGCGTGCAACTGTAGAATATGGAGGAGCAGAGTCCCCCAATGTTTCCACTAAGTCACTGTGTATGTCTTTTGAAGGCATTTTTTTTTAAACAGAGGTACTTGATGACAGCTCTAATTTCGTTTTTCTTCATGTTGATGTTATCTCTTTGACAGTTCATATTCAAATAAATGTATCTCCCGGAAATCGTGATCTATTTATATGATTTTTTAGGCTGACGTAGTGAGTATATAAGCAAGCAAAAATATTTTTTTTGGATTTTTATGCAGACCTGAAGTAACCGATTATCATTACTTTTGGATCACCCCTCGTACATATAACATGTTATATTTATTTTAATGTTCCAAGCCATAAACATGAAAAAGGAACACATTATATCTTGAATTGAACAAACAACATTTAAAGTAGGCCGCCCACTTTATTTTTAGATTGCACTGACTAAGAAGCGCTGGCCTGACTTCGAACAGATTACTTAGAGAATGATATTTTATTTCTATTTAACCAATTTCAATTAAACTAAAAACTTTGAAGTAGTAGTAGGAACAGCGATACCGGTCCGGTATAAACATACAACATACATGAATTTGGCGATTATATTTAGATTTCTAATCCAAAACCAGGAAAACCGAACACCTGGAGGAATCAAAGATTCATTTTATAGATTTATGTCTATCATTTTCTTTCAGAGTCCATTATTACGTGATAGCGATGCACAGGTCGAGCGTGCAGAAAAACAACAGATTTTAATTATCAAATGTATGTAACATAGACACTGTACTCACCGCAGCGATAATATGCTCTTGCTTGCTAGCGGTGCAAACGTCCAACTCGTAGAAGGGCAATGCGTCTTGTGGCGCAAACGATGGCCTTCGTGAAGCTAAAGGCGCGTTCGCTGTCGGCGAAAGTGGTGTACTGCAGCGAGATAAGGCTTCTGGCTGGAAAATTAATATATAATAATGTTAATATTACCAATATATATAAAGGTATACACAGAGGTAACATAATATTATAACCTAGAAATGAAAATCTGTGAGGTACACCAAGAGGAAATTATTAGACCCCAACAATTCTCTTTTATAATAATGAAGTATGTTTCAGCGTAGTAAGTTTTTAGCGATGATTGGAGTAAAGGTTATGGTCACATGATTGCAGCAACATGTTATTGGTTATGGTTTCCTCCTGGTCGATTTTATTCACGGCAGCAACTAAACTAAATAGTTGTAGTAGCAGGCGCCACCGCGGCGCACCGGTGCAGCAGCTGCAGCTGTACAGCAGTGCAGCGGTCAAGCGGCTGCACGCTCGCATCTGGTAGCAGTGCAGCGACACTCGTAGGCGTTTGAGCAAGTCAGGCGGGCGCAGTGCAGCGGTGCAGCGGCTGCACGCTTGCATCTGGTAGCTGTGCAGCGACACGCGCAGGCGCTTGAGCACGTCGAGCAGGCGCAGTGCAGTGGGGTAGTGGGTGCATGCTAGCACCTGGTAGCAGTGCAGTGACACACGCAGGCGCTCGAGCACGTCGAGCAGGCGCAGTGCAGTGGGGCAGCGGGTGCACGCTCGCACCTGGTAGCAGTGCAGTGACACACGCAGGCGCTCGAGCACGTCGGGCGGGCGCAGGCGGCGGCGCGGAGTTGCGGCGAGCGCGCTCCACAGCCGCGTCCACGCGTCCTCGGCGAACTGGCTCACGCGCTGCCGCGGCGCCAGCACCACCGCCGCGCTGTTCCACAGCTTCTCCTGGCTCACGGACACCGACACCTCGCCGGCCTGTACACAGAAATAGATCTGTTGTATCGTATGACAATATCTATTTTTATTATAGATTAAGGATGCCAAAATAGCCGTCCACTTGAAGGTAAGAGGATGCTATGGCCCTATAAACATCGAGTGAGGACTAAGATGAAATGCCTTGTTTTCAGTAAAAAGGAACGTCGATCCTCAACATTCAACCATACGCAGAGTGGTCCTACCCAGGTCGAGCTGATCCATTCTTGCTACAACCATAATTATATCTGCACCGTGACTCTGCCACGTATAAAATGATGAATGTAATAAAAAAGAACATATTACAGGCTCAGACCAACAAAGTAAGTTAGACAAATCATTATCAGCCCACAAATATTCACAGCTGGACGCATACATATTCAACGTTAAAGCGAGTTCTTACAATAAGTAATTTTTTACAATAAGTAATTTTGTCGCATGAAATAGCATATTGAACATATACTGGGTGTTAGTGTAAACACCGTTATCCTTGAAACCAGTGGTTTAGTTTCACTTATAGAACGTAAATTCAATGAATTAAAAAAAACGCTATTTTCTTCATAATATTTAAAAAGTTTCTGGTCCGACACCGTCCGTAAATTCATGGATACCCTATGCGCCCGAATGACGTAATCACTGTAAAGATCACCGCCCGCTCTAGCTACCTACACTACATTCTAATAAAAACACAATAGGTACACATAACATGTGATGTAACTTTTCCTTCATACTTTCATCCTGGCTTAGGACAGGCAAAAATTGAGGAATTAAGAAAAAATTGAGATTTTACTAAAAAAAATGTTACTTTTCATTGAATTTACGTTATATAAGTGAAACCAAACCACTGGTTTCAAGGATAACGGTGTTTACACTAACAGCCTGTAAATGACACAAAAAGCACACTGTCAGAAAGTAAATGATTGTTGAACTTATTTTTTTTAAATCGATTAATGTTTTTTACATTAAAAAAGTGATTTTAGTGGCTTTCGTTATAGATTTATCAGGTCCGCTTGGAGAGGTAATGTTTTTTTTTTCACCTCAATCTCTTCTTTAATCTATCATGTGGGAAGCCATGAAATGTAAATGGCAGTTTAATGTTGTTTTCTTTAGTTATAATGAATTTTTTTCAGCTAAGAAATTCTATAATTTTCGGTGTTTGAGCAGCCTTGTAATAATTTATCTTACTAAATATACTTTGAGTTGAGTCTGCCCTTGACTCACTCCAGGCTCGGCTACCAGCGTGAGTAGATTACTGTATCGTTTGTTTATAGCGGCTCGTAATAAAAATTATCGATCCCTGTAGAAATACAAAATATTACAAACCCCAAATAACAATGGCGAACGCCTATACAAATTTTTATGTCACGTAATGTGGAAACGTTTTTAATATCAAAAATATCAAAAGCGATTCACCATCTCTCCCTGAGATTGTTTGTCGAAGATTTTTTTTATCGAAGAGGCCGGGAATAATTGTTACGAGGCTTTGAAGATTTGTAGGTTATGTGACATTATATCACTTCAAGATTTATTATCAATTTATGAGTTTTTTACCTAAAGGATTTCAATAATTTAATCTTATATTAATGTTTAATTAATAATTATTCACCATTAGGTATATTACTGTTTCAAAGTTATTTTTGAGTAATCAACTTGTGGAGCAGATTAAACTCTCTATTAAGGAATTTACTCGCTTATTAAGGAATTCACTGCAGAGAATTCAAAATAATATATTTAGCCATAATACAAGTTCCACTTTAGAGATAGATAATGAAGGCATGGCGGGCATCCACGACTTTTTGCCACCAGAGCGGCACTTCTTACAAATGAGGTGTAATATTTGACAGATTTCATAGCGGGAACTCAATTTGTTATAAAAATGTAAAGGTTAACGTTTCTTTATGTACTATTAGTTGTATTTTATATAAATTTAATTAAAACCAAACCACGTATATTCATAAAAGTTGAAAATTAAAACAAAGAGAAAACGTACAAAAAATTAAAGAATAAACTCCTGAGGCATTGTTTTGTGTATTAATATAATACTTTAGAAATTGATAAACTTTTACCTTTAACCTAAATTCTCTTTAATACTATTTAGAAAGATTCTATAAGAGAATAGAGAAAGGCGAAAGAAAGCTTTTCACAGGCGAAGAAAAAACTTCTGGTGAATGGAAGATTATTAGCCCTCACTGGATTGAAACTATTTAACAATATTATTCGACCAAAGATAATTAAAACAAGAAATTAATTGTACAACATTTATTCATTATCATCTTCCCTAATAATTACACCATCTAAAACTCTGCCGGTGCTGAAATATGTTGCTGATGTTTGTTTGGCTCATCCTAAACTCCAAACTAAGGTCATGACATGTGCGCAACTGCCTACTGTGCGCCAACTACTAAACAACTACAGCAGTACTCTGCGATTCCTGTTCAACCAGGTATATTATATTCTAATAATAGTTATATATATATATATATATATATATATATATATATTGCTCACTACAGATTTCTATTCTGTTTCCGCCATGGAAACGCACATGGTCGCCGTAATATGAGCGAGCTTGTTGAATTTGGTACGTTCACAGGGCAAACAAAATCAGATCTTTCATTTCTAATATTTGAAAATATAAAATGTTATCCCTATCCGCAGTAATACTTTGAAAGTAGGATGTGCGTCTGTTCATATTTTGATCTTCAACCATATTAGCCAGATTATTTTCGAAATTCATTTGCTTCCTCATCATCATCATCATCATTACAGCCCTTCACAAGTCCACTGCTGAACATAGGCCTCCCCCAAGTAATGCCATCTCCATCCATCGTCCACCTGCATCCATCGACTTCCTGCATGTCTTACCAGGTCGTCACTCCATCTAGTGGGGGGTCGCCCTACACTACGCCTACCGGTACGAGGCTGCCACTCGAGAACCTTTCTTCCCCATCGGTTATCAGTTCTTCGAGCTATATGTCCGGCCCATTGCCACTTCAGCTTACTAATCCGTTGGGCTATGTCGGTCACTCTGGTTTTACTGCGGATATCCTCATTTCTGAGTCTATCTCGCAGTGAAACTCCGAGCATAGCCCTCTCCATAGCTCGCTGAGCGACCTTGAGCGTCCTCATACGGCCAGCGGTGAAGGACCACGTCTCAGATCCGTAAGTCATCACTGGCAACACGCACTGGTTATACACTTTAGTTTTCAGAGATTGAGGTATACCTGACGAGAAGATGTGTCGTAATTTCCCGAACGCTGCCCAGCCGAGTTGAATCCGTCGATTGACCTCTCGGTCGAAGTTGGACTTACCTAGTCGGACTATTTGTCCCAGGTAAACGTACTCGTCAACAACTTCGAGCATAGTGCTCCCAACAACTACCGGCATAGGTGTGACATGGACATTAAAGATGATCTTTGTTTTGTCCATGTTCATCTTAAGACCTATCCGTTGGGAGACACTATTGAGGTCATTGAGCATAGTGCTAAGGTCCTCCAGCGATTCTGCCATAAGGACTATATCGTCGCAAATCGAAGGTGAGTGATGTACTCGCCATTGATGTTAATACCGTATCCTTTCCAGTCCAGTAGCTTGAAAACGTCTTCCAACGCAGCGGTGAAGAGTTTCGGGGATATAACATCACCCTGTCTTACACCTCTCTGCAGTTGGATAGGTTTCGTACTCTGGTTCTGTACTCGGATAGCCATCGTAGCCCTACTGTACAAACACTTCAGCACTTCAATATACCGACAGTCAACTAGGCACCGCTGAAGAGACTGTAGCACCGCTCAAATTTCGACGGAATCAAAGGCTTTCTCATAGTCCACATACGCCAGGCAAAGTGGCAGATTGTACGCTTCGGACTTCTGTACAATTTGCCGAAGGGTATGTATGTGGTCTATGCTACTGAAGCCTTTTCGGAAACCGGCTTGTTCGGGAGGCTGGAAGTCGTCGAGTCTGCGTGCGAGACGATTCGTAATGACTCTCGAAAACAGCACGTAGACGCGGCTCAGAAGGGAAATCGGTCTGTAGTTCTTCAAGAGAGCGTTGTCGCCTTTCTTAAAGAACAAGACCACCGCGCTTCTGCTCCACGCCTCCGGAGTAGTGCCACCATGGAGGACGGAATTGAAGAGCTTCTGAAGGACTTCAAGTACCGGTGTTCCACCCGCTTTCAGAAGCTCCGCTGTAATTCCATCCTCGCCCGAGGCCTTGCCGTTTTTAAGGAGGTGGAGAGCCATTCTAATCTCGCTCAGACTGACATCCGGGATATCATCGGAATAGTGTCGGATAAGACTTGCTCTTGGATCGTTACTCACACTTGCGTGTGGCTCCAACGATGATGTGTACAGCTGCCCATAGAACCTCTCAATCTCACTCAGAATCTCAGGTGTCCCGGAAACGATGTTGCCACACTCAGTCTTCAGCCTTGACAGTTGGCTCTTTCTGGCAGACAGATCTCTGGCAAAGACTTTGGAGGTCTGGTTCCGCTTGATCGTTTCTTTAATACAAGCAGTATTAAAGTTGCGTAAGTCTCGCCCCGCATGCATTTGGAGATCTGTCTGTTCAGTTGCCTGTATGCTGTCAAATCTGTTGACGATTGCAGCCTCATCTCCCGTCTAACAGCCATGAGATTAAGAGTGTGATCGGAGAGTTTTTGTGTTCTTCTGCGGCGGGTCTTGCAGAACTTAGCTCCGACCGCATGGACAGTTTTCCACGAGCTTGTCATTCATATCGTCCACTGCATTGCAATCTTCTAGGCACTGAAAGCGGTTGTGTAACTCGAGCTGAAATTTTTCGGGATTCTGGATTAGAGCACGAGGGGGACGGAGCGTTGTCTTCATTAGACGAGACCTCTCCAACTTAACGTTTAGGTTCAGTGTGCCTCTAACCATTCGGTGATCGCTGCCAGTTTTCACCCTTGCGATCACTGAGACATCACTGAACATTTGGCGTCTGGTCGTCATAATGAAGTCAATCTCGTTTTTTGTCGAACCGTCGGGGCT